AGAAGGTTGCAACTGAGCTGCAGCCCAGAGTTTTATAGATAAAAACAAGAGGTAAATTGCGAAAATTAAGGGCTAGTCAGGCCATCCATGACAGTTGGTAGCAACCTCCAAGGTGGTTGTGTACACAATGGTAGGTCTTGTCGAGGTTTATGTCAGAAGCGGCTCTAATAGTCTGGAGCTGTGCTAGTTGTACTCCTGCATATGCTACAGCTTGCGATAAGGCTGCCACTTTCATGCCCATCAGGCCCCACTGAAGCAGAACAGTATGTTCGAGGATCTTGGTAGTATTGCGCTGTGTCCCAAGGCTTGCAAGTTGGTCAGCCCCTTTGTTTCCTTCTGATCCAGAGTGGCCTTTTACCCACTCAAAAGTGATCAGTGCTGATTGCTTCTGTAGATGGCAGGCTGCACTTCGGAATAGTTGTGCATTGTCAACACCAATCCATACATGGTCTCACCATTTAGTAAGGTGGGTTGTCAGTCTGTCAATAGCATATTGGGAGTCGCTGATCATATGTAGGGGTCGGAATGGTGGGGAGAGAGCAGTAGCTTGTTGGATAGCCAGGATTTCACCAGCCTGGCTTGTTTGTATCTGTTTAAAGACACGTAGGGCCAGGGTTTGTGGGTCATTGTGTCTGTACCACACCCCGGCTCCAGCTCGAGCGTCAGCATCTCCGTTATGAGTACAGGACCTGTCAGTGTAAACTATTAGAACGTCTTGTTGGTTGAGTGTGGGTGCCGGGGCTTGGAGTGCAGGCTCGCACAAGGTTATGGCAGGGTTTGAAAACACTCTAAGACCATCTAATATGCAATCATCAGAGGCAATGCTTGGATTAAAAGTGAGTCTGAAACCTTCAATTTGGGCCTGGCAGTTCTTTTCTTTTCTATGCCATGTCAGGATTAGATTATCTTTGGGCAGGGTATAGTGCGGGTTCCACTTGGGCTGGATAGGAGGCAAATAGCTGTTTGGTGACATTTTTCTGGTTTTGTACATCCTAGTTGTGTCTTGGTGTGGGTACGTTTGTGACATGGGCAGGATGGGTGGCCAGTATGGTTAGGTGCAGTATGAGTTTTAAGTAGGTCAGTCAAGTTGCCAACTGTGAATACTGCATGCTTGTTAAGAAGGCATTTTCCAGCCACTGCAAAGATAAGACGACGTAGTGGCTCTTTGGCACCGACATGGTGCCATAGTGGCATAGGGTGTTTCATGTGTTCAGAAGGTTTTATTGCACTTAGGCGTGTGTTGTACTTGCTGGCAACACGGAGCATACATTTAAGATTGTCAGGTAACTTAGACTTGGGATGTAGACTGGCACGCCATGTTTGGGTAAGGACCATGTCCTGTTCATCTGTTTGGATACACTGGTCAGTTACAAGGGTATTTTGTGCAATCAGATGGTCTCCAATTTAGGTCCACATTGTTGCCGAGAGACTGCTGCTATGCTGATAACCCTAACAAGGGAGTGAAGTGGATATGGAATGGGGGTACATCTCCAACAACGACAACAAGGTCAAAGTCAATGATGAGCAGGCAAGCATGCACTAAGGCCGGATACTAGCAGTGAAAATGACAGAGTTAATAGGGTATAATACTAAGCTACATGCAGTAACTCACCTAGCAGTGCAAATGACAGAGAGGTCAAGATGCAGAGCTAGGAAGAGTAAGGTCTACTACATATGCTGTGTCTGGATGGTCTGTGCGCAAGTTCCCACACTAGGGACTGGAGTAACTGTGGGGCTGGAGTAACAATAGAACAATAATGGACCAGGGTAACTATCAGGGACCAGGGTACATAGAAAAATAGAACAATAGAACAAGAACAATAGAACAGTAAGAACTAGGGGAATCCCTGGGAAATGACACTTGTAATAAGCCAGGGACCACAGGAGTGTAAGGAAATTGGCCAGATACGCAGGGGCAGAGGGGGGATGCTCACAGTCAAGAATGAATGTGGGGGAAGTAGATTGTGAGGCATTGTGAGTTACAATGAGAGACTCAGAGGCATCTAGATGACAAGGGTGCATGGCTAAGGCGTCTAGATGCCAATTTTTCTCCAAAGGCTGTGCTGTGCTCAAGAGATTGGATTGCACTCCCAGGAGGCTTCCAGATTCCGTTCAGATGAATCAAGGATGGGTGCCTGAGGACATCTCTGAATTTCTGAGATATACTGTGAAGGATGTTTTCAAACAGGCTTGTGGCTCAATTTCTGTTGTGGTTAGGTTTAGCTGTGTGATATCAGAGTGAGCTTTAGCAGTGGGCCTGTTGATATTGCTCGCAAAGTAGGATAAATGTGTGCCCCATGGCTAAGTTGGTTAAAGCGTCCGACTGTTATCACGTGATTAATCGGAAGGTCGTGAGTTCGAGCCTCACTGGGGCAGGTTTTTGAATACTGTAATTTTACAAACAATTTTTCCACTCATTGTGAACGAGAAGCTTCTCGAACATCCACCTTGTAAATATTCATGCACCAGGGGGCTGCGTAGATGATGCACCCTGATTCAAATCCCTCAGTGTTGTTGCATGCGGAATGACGGGAATTTGGACTGCTTGGCAGAAATGAATTTCGCTAGAGGTGAACTCAGGGCCGCAGTGCCCTAGGAAGAAAACTGAGAAAGTGACGGCATAAGTATACAATGATTACGAGCGAAGAGGGAACCCAACGACAATATCCGGAGCAGCTGTACAAATACAAGAATGAGAGAGTAGGTAGCAAAGATATGAAAATCAAATGCAAAACCCAAATCAATGAGCAAAGTGTACTAAATGGAAATCCAAAGTTGCGCAGCGGAAACCAGGAGGTTTGGTGGAAATGGAGATCAGTTCGAGATACCAGTCTCTGTTTTTTTCTGACGCGCGAGGACAGCGTCGCTCAAGCTATGCTTCCTCTTTTGTTCTCGTGTCTCTGGGCGAGGCTTGAGTGCTGAAAAAGCGCTGTTCAGGACATCTTCTAGTTGCGGCCATATCTCGTCCGACGTTGGACCCGTCAAAGTGACGAGCTGTGTCGTGCTTGAAGGCTGTGAGGCGTAGTAGGAGAGCAACGGTGAAGTCGCGGCGTAGTAGGTTTTAAGGCGGCGGGCAAATATTTCCTACAGAGTTGGGATGAGTAGGAGTGGTGGGAGACGAATGCAGGGTTACACACGGGATTGTCATCAGGTCGTTTCGCCAATGGTTCACCAGTCTCATCGTCAAGGCCAGAGACCTTTGGTCGGTTATATGACAAGTTGTATACACGCCCCGAAGGCAGATGCACCCAGCGGTCTGATATCCTGCCTAGAATGATATCGTCTGCTACGTCAATGTTCACCACAAGACTGAGAGGCATATCTCGTTCACTAAATGTAAAGTCAGTTGTGATTGCTCATAGGAAGATCGATCCTGCGTACTGAAGGTGCTGGTCAAGAAGCTTGCCCTGACCCAGTGTTCGCGGGAAGCCATCTAGAATCCAATGCTGCGAGTAATGTCTTCAGCTAACATCGGCCATCGTATGCCGGCAAAAGGACGCACTTTATTATGAAGTGAGTCTAGTTTACTCGTAACGACTTTGAGCATTATATCGTCGGGTATTAGCTCCCCTGCAGCGACAATTGTTTCGGCCATACGGCCGACCTCCGTTCTGTGCAGATTCTAAGATAAAGATTAAAGAAACCACAGGGATAGCAATACTCGCCTCTCCGCTATATGCTGCCTCAACAGATCCCCCGTCGAGAACGACAAGATGTCGTACTTCTTGACCAACCGCGAAGAGAGCGTCCCCTTTCCCGCACCCGGCTTCCCAAACATCAACATCCTCAGCACCTTCCCGTCTGCCGGAGCATTGTATGCAGCCCCAGCGTTGGCCGTCGACGCACGGCCTGTCTGAAGCGTGAAGGGCAACGCCTTTTGCGAGGTCGATGACCCCCCGAACCACCGGAGCCCCTGAGTTCGTGCAACGTTGAGCTTGAGGCATTCATTCGCGCGCTGGGGCAAGGCGCGGAGAGTTGGGAAGACGGCGGCGGACATGCAAAGGGAGAGGAGGAGGAGGATGAGAGAAAGGAGGCTGCGCATGCAAAGCGAGCTCGAGTCCCCTTACGATGTCTCCCCAACGTAAATATCTCGTATGTCGTCTGACACCATCCACTTGCCCAGCGTAATTCGATAAGCGCGCAGCCTGGGATTGTCTTCGGCACGCGTTACACGACTGTTTCACTCGCAAACAGTGTGCAGGGATGTTCTCACAAAACTCAACAATATTAGCTACGAATGACACCGTGGACGACTACTAATACGTCGTAGCAGTAGCACAGCCGATTCAAGTTGTACTCAGTCATATTGACATGCGCCAGCGCCCTTGCTAGTAGCTCTAAACTCCGCATCACCCGCTGCTTGCGATACTAGATTCACCAAAAATCGATAAATCAGCGTAGAGTATGCACGCGATGCGCACTTGATTGGCTAAACGCATTGAATACTTCTAATACTTGCAGTCACAGCGTTAATATTTTCTCTTGCAATTATACAGCATTGCTACCGCAGCGCATACCTGTCCAAGCCGCGAATTAGAACTGTAAGAAAACTTCGGACGCAACTAAGAACTTACATTTTCACCTCATACAATCCCACAGGGAACCCTTTCTGCACTTGCTCGTGCAGTAATGTCAGACCAGCACGCGCAAAAATATTCTTCCAAGCTAGGTCCGATCTGTGACACATTCCTTCAGCGAGGAACAGAAGTTTGGAAATCTGCGCGACTTACCGAGTAAGACTTGAGTCACTCTCATCAAAAATTGTTTCCGGCTGGCCGTCCTCAGTGTTCTCGCATACATTTTCCTTGACGATTATAACGTTCTGCTCAGGGAACCTCAGAGCAGCGCGACATCGCATGAAGAATGCGACGAGGTCCTCGTCAGAAAGATGCCCGAGACACCACTGGCACCAAATCACGTCGAACTTGGAGTCAACATCGTCGTCAGTAGGCTCGTACCCCACTCGGCCCAGCAACTCCATCGAAGATGCAGCGAGAGGTTGACTAGGGTCAAAGTCCTGCAAGGTTCCCTTGATAAACGTGACACTCTTCTCCTTGCTCTGGATACCCTTCCACCGACCATGCGATTTATCTTCCTTCAAAGACCCATTCTCGCTTTCGGTGCCGCGGCGGTACGCTTCGGCGACAAAATTTGAAGCGGGCTCGAGCAGGACAATGTCCTGAACGAGATGCAGGAGGACGTCCGAGGTGACGCGACCGACGCCTGCGCCGACGTCGAGTGCACGGATGCGATGCTCCGGAATGACCGGCTGAAGTGGACGGATGACAGAGGGAACGGTGCATAGTGAGGGCAGAAGATACAGCAAGAATTGTCGTGAGCCCAACGAGTCGAATCGTGGTAAAGACTGTGATTTGACAAGTTAGTGGCAAGCACCCCCTCGATAAGTAAATCACTTACGCCTTCTCCAAAACCACCTACAGAAATTCTGGGTTATGTTGAGGCTGACGCAGCAGCGCAGTGGCGGGAAGGCTTACCAAGCACCCCGTTGTAGCTCGCCGGTTGTGTTGTCCAGTACTGAATGCCGTCCTCGACATCTGGCACAGCAGATGCGGGTTGTCCTCCGCTCGACATGATTTCTGCCAAGCCGTGGTTCGGTAGTGTCCAACCTGCAGCAGTCAGTAGAATGCCACAATGGGGTGTGCTTGAATGAAAAGTCTGTGACGGTTGAGGTTGAGGGACAAGAAAAGTGTCAGTTGTGAATGGGATTACCGGCGCTAAAATGAGATGAGATCACAGACAGGGTAGATTGGCAAATAAACAGAGGTCAACAACGCGAACGCGTTCCGCGACCAACTACTTGCAAGAGCACGCCCATCTCCAACTCACTTTCTGCTGGACATGTCAGTCTCTATTGACGATATCTGGAGCACGCCTCTAGAGAACACACCTCCACGAACGCGGAAGGACGTGCTGACAAGCGAGGCCATCGGTAACACTCCGTCACGACCTTCACCCGCGAAACGTCGTCGGACTACCTTGTTCTTGTCGTCTGACTCGGAGAATGACGCGCCCAGTACGTCCAAGGTCCCTTACCGGATACGCACCCCACCACCATCGGACAAGGATAAACAGAAATCACTCGTCGACGCGCTGTTTGATGACTTGGACGGAGACGACGACGGCGGCGGATTCAAGGAACTCGCGCCCTCACTGAACATCGAGGCACTTCGTAAACAAGCCAGCCAGCGAAACGGCAGGGCCAGAATCCCGGCGTTAACTCCTCACCAAATATTGCCAAGTAGTTCACCAGAGCGAGATCTTGGGCCGGATGAGGTGGCAGGAGGGGTAAGTGGGAAGCAGCAGAATGGGAAGGAAAAGAAGAAGGACGACGAGGATGGGATGAAGAAAAGGAAACTCCTGGCGAAGCTGGACGAGGTTAGGCTGATTGGCGACGGCGGTTTCCCTGCGTTAATTAAACAGACGAAGGACTTCAAGCCAAGAGGCAAGGGACATGAGGTGCAACTTCCCTAGTACGAAAAGGTATCGCCATAGTTGACATCTCGGCTTGTAGCTTTCAGATCTCAACAGAGTCCTCGGCATATACCAGTTCTGGACACACAAGATGTATCCGAAAGGGACATTCCACGATAATGTCCAGAGGGTAGAGAAAATTTGTCATTCAAAACGTATGCATGTATGTCTTTGTAGCCCCCACTTCCTCTCTGCTCGATGTACCCTTACTCAATTCTTCGCTACTAGAATTACCTCGGCATGTGGCGTGATGCCTCCAAGGGCTTGATCAACGGTCGAAAACCAGAAGACCTCCAAGCAGTAGGCGACCCTTCAGATGACAGCGACAGTGATTTCGACCAGGACCAGGGACAGTCTGGTCCTTCTGCCCCTGCAGCTGACATCACACGATCCAGCTCACCTCCCACCCGACCTCCCTCATCCGCGTCCGAACGCCCGTCCTCAGCTGCTCCTGACGACGATGACTTTGACATCGACGCAATGATTCAGGAAGAGGAAGAACGACAGGCAGCACAAGCAGCACCATCCCGTCCTGTCTCGCACCCCCCTGCACCGACACAACCACAGCCAGACGAGGATCAAGATATGTGGGACCAATTTGACGACGAGGTAGTCACGCAGCCGCCGCCTCCTCCTTTGCGACGTGTGCAGCCTTCCATGGGAGATGACGTGGAAGATGAAGATATGTGGGACCTTGTGAGGGAAATTGAGGGAGACGCCACCGCTTCCAAAGGAGCACTTGCGCCTGTATCTGCCGCTCCGAGGGCATTTGTTGTTGAAACGGCTCTCTCAGGAGGTCAGCCACAGCAATCTGCTACGAATGAGGAAGGCTGGGACGAGATGTATCTGTAAATCTAGCATTCTACTCTATCGTCCGTGGCAGT